CTATGAGTGAAGATTAAAAAAATTGGGTTTGTTTAGTCTGGAAAAGAAAAGACTGAAAAGGAACATGATAACAGTTTTCAAGTATGTAAAAGGTTGTTACAAGGAGGAGGGAGAAAAATTGTTTTTCTTAACCTCTGAGGATAGGACAAGAAGCAAGGGGCTTAAATTGCAGCAAGGGAGGTTTACGCTGGACTTTCAGAAAAACTTCCTAACTGTCAGGGTGGTTAAGCACTGGAATAAATTGCCTAGGGAGGTTGTGGAATCTCCATCACTGGAGATTTTTTAGAGCAGGTTAGACAAACACCTGTCAGGAATGGTCTAGATAATTAGTCCTGCCACAAGTGCAGGGGACTGGACTTGATGACCTCTTGAGATCCCTTCCAGTTCTACGATTCCATGATGAAGGCAGGAAATTAGATGTCTAAATGTTAGAACTGATGACCACAATTAACTGGGTCATCAAGATTGGAGACCATTTTTAACAATCATACCATTAGGACACCAGGCCTTAGATACATTAGCGTAATAGCTATTGACTATAGCTAATGTGCTGCCCTTAGTTACATAAGGCCAACCCTATTGACTTCACTGAGGTTGCATGAGTGTAACAGATGGCAGAATTTGGCACAGACATTTCATCAGCATGTACAGGACTAAATTCAGTTGTGTATACCAGTGCCACATCACCCCTTCAGAGGGACCATGTTAGTGCAACAGAGAGATGATAATTTTTGTAGAAAAAAATCCCATGGTACATTATTTTTGTTGACCAAAAAGCATACCAGGAACACAGCAGCCCATAGGGGAAATTTATTGAATGCTTAATGATGCAGAGAGGCCAGTATACATCTGTGATAAACGTTTGCCTGACAAACACGGGTACCTCCTACCAGGCAAAAATAAATATATCCATTATTCATGGAATTATGATCAAGTTTTTTACAACACAAGTAATATCTATCAAGAATAGTTTGGGTGCAGAAAATGGACTGGGCCTTTCTATTAAGCAATTGATAATTCTGTGACAATTGTTAATTCTTGAGCAAAAACAGTTACTTAAGTATACAAAGGAAGGGTATGATTGATATGTTTATTAAATAGGACAATTACAGTATGAAGTTAAAAGAAGTAGAAAACATCCAATGTAAAACAATGGTAGTTTATATTTACACAGAGAGAAGCTTGTTTTTATCCTACAGTAATTAGTTATTAAAACTATTCCAAAAACATTATAGGTGAAATTCATTCGCCTCCATAAACTGCAGGTAATGTGTATTATATTTATGTATTTCTGCACTATAATTCATATACAACTAATAATTTCATGCTTGATCTCCCCAATGGAGTAAATGTATTTTCATTCTATGATAAGAAATGTTGGATTAGATTTATGTAGTCATCATTTACTGATTGGCTGTTTTTATTCCCCATAATTTATAAATAAATCTGATTTTCTTTCCTCTTTGAATAGGATTTATAAAGTCATCAGAAGCCCCATGGATAGTTACTAACAAACCCCTTAAGAAGGAAATGGGTTAATTACCATTATGGATGGGTGAATTCACACTGTATAGTTTTATACATAGGTAATGATCAGACCTTACTGAGTTTCCTTCTGTTTAATAGAGACTGAGAGTAAAAAAAAAGAAAAAAGAAGAAAAAAAAAGGAGAAGACAGGTGGAAATAAAAATATTTTAATGAAAGAATATACACAATGGGTCATATTTAAGGCTGCAAGTTTGTCACAGATTCCCCCCCCCCCCCCGCCACCAGCAGCAGAGTTTGGGTGCAGGAGGGGGTAGGGGGGTGGGGCACAGGACAGGGTGAGGTGGGCTCTGAGCAGCACTTCCCTGGGGGACTCCCTGGAAGCAGCAACATCCCCCTCACTCAGCTCCTAGGTGGAGGCATGGCCAGGCAGCTCTGCGCACCACCTACACCTCCCCCTCAGCACCTGGGCTGCCCTCCCTCAGCACCCGCAGTGCCCCCGGGCAGCCCACCCCTCCCCAAGTTTTAGTCAGGGGTATGTAGTAATTTTTTGTTTACTGCCTGTGACCCGTCCGTGACTTTTACTAAAAATACCCATGACTAAAACATAGCCTAAGGGTATGTCTACACTACGGAATAAGGTTGAATTTATAGAAGTTGTTTTTTTAGAAATCGGTTTTATATATTCGAGTGTGTGTGTCCCCACAGAAAATGCTCTAAGTGCATTAAGTGCATTAACTCGGCGGAGTGCTTCCACAGTACCGAGGCTAGAGTCGACTTCCAGAGCGTTGCACTGTGGATAGCTATCCCACATTTCCCGCAGTCTCCGCTGCCCATTGGAATTCTGGGTTGAGATCCCAATGCCTGATGGGGCTAAAACATTGTCACGGGTGGTTCTGGGTACATATCGTCAGGCCCCCCTTCCCTCCCTCACTCCGTGAAAGCAAGGGCAGACAATCGTTTCGCGCCTTTTTTCCTGAGTTACCTGTGCAGACGCCATACCACGGCAAGCATGGAGCCCGCTCAGGTAACCGTCACCGTATGTCTCCTGGGTGCTGGCAGACGCGGTACGGCATTGCTACACAGTAGCAGCAACCCATTGCCTTCTGGCAGCAGACGGTGCAGTACGACTGGTAGCCGTCATCGTCATGTCCGAGGTGCTCCTGGCCACGTCGGCTGGGAGCGCCTGGGCAGACATGGGCTCAGGGACTAAATTTGGAGTGACTTGACCAGATCATTCTCTTTAGTCCTGCAGTCAGTCCTATTGAACCGTCTTATGGTGAGCAGGCAGGCGATACGGATTGCTAGCAGTCGTACTGTACCATCTTCTGCCAGGCACGCAAGAGAAGAGGATGGCTAGCAGTCGTATTGTACCATCTTCTGCCAGGCACGCAAGAGAAGAGGATGGCTAGCAGTCGTATTGTACCATCTTCTGCCGGGCAGGCAAGAGATGAGGATGGCTAGCAGTCGTACTGTACCATCTTCTGCCGAGCAGCCATGAGATGTGGATGGCATGCAGTCCTTCTGCACCGTCTGCTGCCAGCCAAAGATGTAAAAGATAGATGGAGTGGATCAAAACAAGAAATAGACCAGATTTGTTTTGTACTCATTTGCGTCCCCCCCTCCCCTGTCTAGGGGACTCATTCCTCTAGGTCACACTGCAGTCACTCACAGAGAAGGTGCAGTGAGGTAAATCTAGCCATGTATCAATCAGAGGCCAGGCTAACCTCCTTGTTCCAATAAGAACAATAACTTAGGTGCACCATTTCTTATTGGAACCCTCCGTGAAGTCCTGCCTCAAATACTCCTTGATGTAAAGCCACCCCCTTTGTTGATTTTAGCTCCCTGAAGCCAACCCTGTAAGCCGTGTCGTCAGTCGCCCCTCCCTCCGTCAGAGCAACGGCAGACAATCATTCCGCGCCTTTTTTCTGTGCTGACGCCATATCAAGGCAAACATGGAGGCCGCTCAGCTCACTTTGGCAATTAGGAGCACACTAAACACCACACGCATTATCCAGCAGTATATGCAGCACCAGAACCTGGCAAAGCGATACCGGGTGAGGAGGCGATGTCAGCGCGGTCACGTGAGTGATCAGGACATGGACACAGATTTCTCTGAAAGCATGGGCCCTGCCAATGCATGCATCATGGTGCTAATGGGGCAGATTCATGCTGTGGAACGCCGATTCTGGGCTCGGGAAACAAGCACAGACTGGTGGGACCGCATAGTGTTGCAGGTCTGGGACGATTCCCAGTGGCTGCGAAACTTTCGCATGCGTAAGGGCACTTTCATGGAACTTTGTGACTTGCTTTCCCCTGCCCTGAGGCGCATGAATACCAAGATGAGAGCAGCCCTCACAGTTGAGAAGTGAGTGGCGATAGCCCTGTGGAAGCTTGCAATGCCAGACAGCTACCAGTCAGTTGGGAATCAATTTGGAGTGGGCAAATCTACTGTTGGGGCTGCTGTGATGCAAGTAGCCCACGCAATCAAAGATCTGCTGATATCAAGGGTAGTGACTCTGGGAAATGTGCAGGTCATAGTGGATGGCTTTGCTGCAATGGGATTCCCTAACTGTGGTGGGGCCATAGGCGGAACCCATATCCCTATCTTGGCACCGGAGCACCAAGCTGCCAAGTACATAAACCGCAAGGGGTACTTTTCAATAGTGCTGCAAGCACTGGTGGATCACAAGGGACGTTTCACCAACATCAACGTCAGATGGCCGGGAAAGGTACATGACGCTCGCATCTTCAGGAACTCTGGTCTGTATGAACAGCTGCAGCAAGGGACTTACTTTCCAGACCAGAAAATAACCGTTGAGGGTGTTGAAATGCCTATAGTTATCTTTGGGGACCCAGCCTACCCCTTAATGCCATGGCTCATGAAGCCGTACACAGGCAGCCTGGACAGTAGTCAGGAGCTGTTCAACTACAGGCTGAGCAAGTGCAGAATGGTGGTAGAATGTGCATTTGGATGTTTAAAGGCGCGCTGGCGCAGTTTACTGACTCGCTTAGACCTCAGCAAAACCAATATTCCCACTGTTATTACTGCTTGCTGTGTGCTCCACAATATCTGTGAGAGTAAGGGGGAGACGTTTATGGCGGGGTGGGAGGCTGAGGCAAATCGCCTGGCTGCTGGTTACGCGCAGCCAGACACCAGGGCGGTTAGAAGAGCACAGAAGGGCGCGGTACGCATCAGAGAAGCTTTGAAAACCAGTTTCATGACTGGCCAGGCTACGGTGTGAAAGTTCTGTTTGTTTCTCCTTGATGAAACCCCCCGCCCCTTGGTTCACTCTACTTCCCTGTAAGCTAACCACCCTCCCCTCCTCCCTTCAATCACCGCTTGCAGAGGCAATAAAGTCATTGTTGCTTCACATTTATGCATTCTTTATTCATTCATCACACAAACAGAGGGACGACTACCAAGGTAGCCGAGGAGGGGAGGTGGAGGAGGGAAGGAAAATGTCACACAGCACTTTAAAAGTTTACAACTTTAAAATTTATTGAATGCCAGCCTTCTTTTTTTGGGGCAATCCTCTGTGGCGGAGTGGCTGGTTGGCCGGTGGCCCCCCCACCGCGTTCTTGGGTGTCTGGGTGTGGAGGCTATGGAACTTGGGGAGGAGGGCGGTTGGTTACAGAGGGGCAGCAGTGGCAGTCTGTGCTCCAGCTGCCTTTGCTGCAGCTCAACCATACACTGGAGCATACTGGTTTGGTCCTCCAGCAGCCTCAGCATTGAATCCTGCCTCCTCTCATCACGCTGCTGCCACATTTGAGCTTCAGCCCTGTCTTCAGCCCGCCACTTACTCTCTTCAGCCCGCCACCTCTCCTCCCGGTCATTTTGTGCTTTCCTGCACTCTGACATTATTTGCCTCCACGCATTCGTCTGTGCTCTGTCAGTGTGGGAGGACAGCATGAGCTCGGAGAACATTTCATCTCGAGTGCGTTTTTTCTTTCTTTCTAAGCTTCACTAGCCTCTGGGAAGGAGAAGATCCTGTGATAAGATCCTGTGATCATTGAAACACATGCAGCTGGTGGAGAAAAAAAAAGGGACAGTGGTATTTAAAAAGACACATTTTATAAAACAGTGGCTACACTCTTTCAGGGTAAACCTTGCTGTTAACATTACACACATAGCACATGTGCTTTCGTTACAAGGTCACATTTTGCCTCCCCCCACCGCGTGGCTACCCCCTCAACCCTCCCCCCTCCCTGTGGCTAACAGCGGGGAACATTTCTGTTTAGCCACAGGCAAACAGCCCAGCAGGAATGGGCTCCTCTGAGTGTCCCCTGAAGAAAAGCACTCTATTTCAACCAAGTGACCATGAATTATATCTCACTCTCCTGAGGATAACACAGAGAGATAAAGAATGGATGTTGTTTGAACGCCAGCAAACATACACTGCAATGCTTTGTTGTACAATGATTCCCGAGTACGTGTTACTGGCCTGGAGTGGTAAAATGTCCTACCATGAAGGATGCAATAAGGCTGCCCTCCCCAGAAACCTTTTGCAAAGGCTTTGGGAGTACATCCAGGAGAGCCGCAAATGCCAGGGCAAAGTAATCCTTTCACATGCTTGCTTTTAAACCATGTACAGTATTTTAAAAGGTACACTCACCGGAGGTCCCTTCTCCGCCTGCTGGGTCCAGGAGGCAGCCTTGGGTGGGTTCAGGGGGTACTGGCTCCAGGTCCAGGGTGAGAAACAGTTCCTGGCTGTCGGGAAAACCGGTTTCTCCGCTTGCTTGCTGTGAGCTATCTACAACCTCATCATCATCATCTTCTTCGTCCCCAAAACCTGCTTCCGTATTGCCTCCATCTCCATTGAAGGAGTCAAACAACACGGCTGGGGTAGTGGTGGCTGAACCCCCTAAAATGGCATGCAGCTCATCATAGAAGCGGCATGTTTGGGGCTCTGACCCGGAGCGGCCGTTCGCCTCTCTGGTTTTCTGGTAGGCTTGCCTCAGCTCCTTCAGTTTCACGCGGCACTGCTTCGGGTCCCTCTTATGGCCTCTGTCCTTCATGCCCTGGGAGATTTTGACAAAGGTTTTGGCATTTCGAAAACTGGAACGGAGTTCTGATAGCACGGATTCCTCTCCCCATACAGCGATCAGATCCCGTACCTCCCGTTCGGTCCATGCTGGAGCTCTTTTGCGATTCTGGAACTCCATCATGGTCACCTCTGCTGATGAGCTCTGCATGGTCACCTGCAGCTTGCCATGCTGGCCAAACAGGAAATCAGATTCAAAAGTTCACGGTTCTTTTCCTGTCTACCTGGCCAGTGCATCTGAGTTGAGAGTGCTGTCCAGAGCGGTCACAATGGAGCACTCTGGGATAGCTCCCGGAGGCCAATACCGTCGAATTGTGTCCACAGTACCCCAAATTCGAGCCTCAAGGCCGATTTAAGCGCTAATCCACTTGTCAGGGGTGGAGTAAGGAAATCGATTTTAAGAGCCCTTTAAGTCGAAATAAAGGGCTTCATCGTGTGGACGGGTGCAGGTTTACATCAATTTAATGCTGCTAAATTCAACCTAAAGTCCTAGTGTAGACCAGGACTTAGTCATATTCTGTCCTGCCCATGGCTTCAATAGGAGTTTTGCAGAAATAAGGATTTCAGGATTTTCCCCAGTATGTATTACAGAGCGTGTTTGTAGAGAAGTGTACACTGCAAGGCAATTATTTGTGGCTGCCTATTTCTGAGGCGGAGAGATTCTTCTATATCTAAAGATAGCACAAGATGGCACTTGTAAAAATATTAACAATACAATAAAATAAGAGGGAATTCAAACAACAGGGGACAAGCTCCGTGTAGGTTTAAAAATTGTGTCAGCTCCTAATGGCTTAAGATCTGTGCTTTATAAATCAAAATACATACAAAATAAATAAAGTCCCAAGAATAGTTTTACAAAACCTCAAGCTCCAGGAGGGGTGCTGTTCTCTAATTACCTGCCACCTTCTGATGTTTAACAAGGGGATTTAAAATTCCCTAGACTTTGTTTGCCTACAGGGAAGGATTCCCACTGAAAAACTCATTAGAAGAGATCACATTTTGCACTTTTCCTTCCCAAAATTTACTCCATGACTCTGATTGATTTGAGTTCTAGAGAGCCAGAAAGTCAGTGTCCCCCTCTCTGTTTTAAATGTTGCCCTCTTACAGAGAAACTGGAAGCCATTAAACGATTTATGCTGAAGCAGAACAAAAGTCCTGAATAGTTTGGCTTCCTTGCAATGTGTTGAATAGGTGAACTGACACTTAAAATGGCTTAACACGACTATAAGTCCATTGAAATCAATGGCATTAACTCCTGATTTATACCATTCGAGGCAAGAGGGCAATCAAGCCCACACTTGAGAACCTAAGTGTAAATTGATACAAAGCTTTGTGCTTGATGGTCTGTACTGTGGAAATAATTAAGTGGCTGGCTTTACGGTGCTTTAAAATGCAAACTCCCACTGACTTTGGTGGGAGTTCTGCACATGAAAATATGCACAAAAATTAATAATAAATATAGAAACTAAATTAAACTCCCTTTCAGATTTTATTAGACAAGCCACTGAATAATTTCCTCAAATGATGGTTATTCCTCAATGAAATTATTAGGATATATGCTCCGAAAGATTGTTTTTGTGACCCACAGGAAATACCAAATATCCCTGCAGCATGAAAGCCGAATATGCAAATAATGGCAACATCTTGACCTTGCTTCAGTAAAGTTCTTTGCTGGCTCTGAAAACTTTTTTCCATGATATACTATTTACTCTAGATTCATTGTGTTGGTATGACTGACTAGAGGGAACTATAACATAAGAAATCAAAAAGATTGGTGGAACCGTCAGCCTGGTTTATTGACAAAGAAGCTGCTGCAATTCTTCTCTTTTACTAGTTTTCACATTTCTAGATGAGCATAGCATTTTCCCACTTAATAGAATGCCCTTTTGTGAAAGCATGGCTAAAAGGAGCTTTTTCTTTAGGGACAGAGAGAAAGACAGGTGTGTGGGCATGTGTTGTGGGTGCTGGATGGATGTGAGCATGTGTAGTTTGTGCTTGATGGTCATCTTCCGAAATGATCCAATCACAAGACTTAGAAGGAAATGTTCCTGCAATCGATAACTGAAACTCCAAGATGTACAATTATACTCAACCAGTTAGAATTGAATCACCATCTGCAATATGTCAGTTAACTTTAACGTTCTCTGTGGAGTACCTCAAAAATAAAATGATTTGTAGAAGACATCTGCAAATTCCATTCCATAAGAGAGGCAATAGTTTACCACTATCTAAATTATCAGAGTGCTGTCTACCATAGCCCTACTGGAGAGTGTAACTTCTTTAATTTGGGGATGCTCCCCAAGGTTTTAACAGGAATATCTGAGAACAGATTCAATATCTTGGGCCCCAATTCAGCAGTTCATCTACAGTTATCAAAGCACTTAACTGTAAGCAATGTTTAAGTGCTTTGCTGAATAGAGCTGGTGCTAACATGTTTTGCTGAATTGTGGCCAAAATACATATTAATTGTATCACACATCTTAAGAAACAAAACCTGTTCCTGAATTCTGCATCCTATTAGAGAGCGTTACCAATATTACTTGCAGAACATTTAGCATCACTGCTATGATCTCCTTCTACACAAAAGAGCCAACACAGGTTAACTGACTACATACCATGAATAAAACTACACGGGGTCTAAATATCCTGATGTTCCAGAGAGAACAATTCAGGGTTGAAATAAAAGATGAAAAGGGTTTTCAGCAGGTTTGAAAATATGCTAGGAGAACAACAGTGTGCCATTTTGAATATTGCACACTAACACCTTACTGGCTTGTGGTACTATGACCGGGGCGCCACTGCTGGTCCCCAGCACCAAACACGTGCTGTCATGCCCAGTCCCAGGTGAGGTGGTTTATTTTTTTTATAACAAAAGTTTAAACAAACCAACAGAAGGCAGCAATACCTGGGCCCCCAGGCATCAGGGCCACCCCTCCCAGGGGTCTCTGGCTCTCCAGCACATGGCAGCTTCCTTGCCTCCCTTCTTGGAGTTGCAGGGCTGTTTCCTTGAGCCCCATGCTCCCTTGCTCCAGGGACCCACCACAGAAGTTAGCTCCTCTCTAGTGTAGCCTCTGCTGACCAAGGCTCAGCCCTTCCTTGTCCAGCTGCCCAGGTGTAGCCCAGTTCTCTGTAATTAGCTGGATTGGGGTCACCTGCTCCAGTCCAGGGGAACTGAGTCTATCCACAGAGACCAGCTGTCCTATGACAGGCACATTTGTTATTAATAGCACAGGACAATGACACTAACGTCACTAGGCATGTCAGGCCAAGTTAACCTGGGAAAGGGGACATTTCAGAGTTTTCATTCCTTGTTTTGGCTGAGATATGGTAAACTCTCTTATTGAAAATAATGTTGTGAGCAAAAAATTGCAGAGTCTGGATCTTGACATTCCAACAGCTTGCAATTTTCTTGGTGGCCTTCAAGATGCTTTATGGTAATTATTTTTTTGTGTGTTTTTTGTGTTGCGTGTAAGGAAGTTGCTGCTTCACATGATGAAAGATTAGGAATATCCATGAAGTTCAAAGAGAAACAATCTTGAAGCGGAAAGTAACGCCAGGCAAGCTTGCAGAGGACAAAAGGTAATCAGATCCAAAAAAACCGTTGCTGAATGTGAGGTTTTCACCTCAGTGGGGTAATAGGATGCGTAAGCATGATGGAATTGGAGAATGGTTTGCTTTTTTGATGGGTGAGAAACTGAAAATTATCAGTGCCGAGAGCTAAAGAGTCATGCTCCAAACTTAGCAAGCAGTTACCATGAGGATTTAAACTTTGAAAGATTTGTGAATGAGGCTGAGCTCAGTTTTTGCAAGCAAATATTCAAGGAGGATTCAAAACAAAGGCACCCATTGATCTCCTTAGCTCCATTCACAAAATGTCTTTAAGTGCGAGTTTCCCTACCGATGAAAGAGCATTGCTTATTTTTTGCTGTCTTCTTGTAACTACGGCTATAACTATGAAAGGAGTCTCGGCAAATGAATATTAATCAAGGCCTACTTAAAAAGATCCATCGGGCTGGAAAGGTTAAGTGACCTGGCAGTTGATTCTGTAGAGAAATCTGAAGCAAGGCTGATAGATTGGGACAAGCTAATTAATGAGATTGCTTCAGGGAAGGCTAGGATGGTCTCTTTGTAAGAGTACTTAATGGTGAGTTTGGGGCTGGGAGAGGGGGAAAGAAAGTCCAAGATCTGAGTCTTCAGACCAGACCCAGAAGACCCTTGGCACAGCACTGTGTTCACTCATGTGACAGAATTCAGGCCCAAGACTCACCTCACCCACACAGGCAGCAGTAACATTTCCTGACACCAGGGTTTTGGTTTTCTCTGTGCACATAGGCAAATAAGGGAAGAGCTCCTGTACATTTCTCTCCGCCTCATTACACACCGTCCTGTGAGCAGCCAGAATCTGGCGCTGCTAAATGCTCATCTGCCTCTGAAATACTACCACGGCACACTTGTGCTGCTGCAGTGTAGACAGTACCTACGTGGATGGGTGGGGGGTCTCAAACATGCCGATACTCCCCAAGCCATCCAACTCTTTCCCTTCCTAATGTCAGCTGTGGTAAAGCTAGGGACATAAAAAACCTACACTTCTAATTGCACATATTTCCCTTTCCCCAGGGTAACCTGGCCTGACATGCCTAGTGACGTTAAGCGTCATTTTCCTGTGCCATTAATAACAAATGTGCCCGTCATAAGACAGCTGGTCTCTGTGGATAGACTGAGCCCAGTTCCCCTGGACTGGAGCAGGTGAGCCGAATCCCGCTAATCAAAGAGGGCTGGGCTACACCTGGGCAGCTAGGCAACTGGAAAAGGAAGGAGAGGTACTGGCTGGCTAAGAGGGCTGCAGCTGTGGTGGTCATTGAAGCGAAAGCCCATGCTTGGGAGGAGTTTGGAGAGACCATGAAGAATGACTACCAGACAGACTCAAAGGTGTTCTGGCAAACCATTCGTCACCTTAGGGGGGATCAGTGGGATGTTGCCCGGGCTATACTCAGCAAGGATGGTAAAATGCTGACCTCAACTGAGAAGATCATAGAGAGGTGAAGGACCACTTTGAGGAACTCCTCAATCCAATGGACACCCCCCCCCCATTCCAGGAGGCAGTGCTGGAAACCTCCGGTGATATTGGATCTATTTCTGATGCTGAGATCAATTTGGCGGTAAAGTGCCTTCATAGTGGTAAGGCAGCAGGGGTGGACGAGATTCA